GATGAATTCCATGTTATCTGGGAGCAAATGGCTTATTCAACAAATGTTGTTGCAAAAAATAGGTAGCCAGGTCAATGAAAATAAAATAAAATCCATATTATTCTTTATATCAAAGTTTAAAAAAGAAACAAAAACAAATATACAAGTACCTTTTTCTTTGTTTTTTTAAGTTTTTATTGTGAATTAAATGATTGTCTACATGGGAGAACATCGGTTTACACTCATCCTATCGTATTTCGTTTCATGGCAATGATTATAATCCCCTCCATGAATCATCATTGAACAGTATTTGCTTGTATTCCCTCTGGGTTTTTTGTTTGTTTGTTTTTGATGTACACAAAAACAGTAGGAATATATAATAATTTAAACAACCAAAGGGCACATTCTGAAAGCCAGCAAACAGCTTTTCTCTTTCCATGAGTCTAGAGTCCTCAGCTGCTCTATCTCTCTATGCCATCACCTCTGCCTCCATCTCTGGTGTTGCTGCTTCTCTGGATAGGGTCTCACATTTCGTTTGTGCTCTTCTTCCATGATGGCCCTAGGGTTTTCTGTTTCTGGAATGTGAGATTGACTACTCCCCCGTTTTCATCACAAAACTTTTACCTTTACAGCTGTGACTATTGCAGTTAGTCATGATAATCATTACTCACTATTGATCATAAGAATCTTATCTCTATCTCCTTTTACCAGACCTGTCCAGACAAGATGAAAACTCTTCTGTGGGGATTCAACCTTCCCCTGCACAGTCTGAAACTAAATTCCCTCTTGAAAACTTGTAAGCCAGTCACTTTGTGCCTTTATGTCCCCCCGCCCCCCATTTTAGGTAGTCAATGTCTAAGTTGCCCATCCCTATCAACCCTGTATATAGAAGGGATGGGAATGATCCTAGATACAAAGATTCCTTCCCTTTCAGTTGGACAAGTACTTTTTTTTAAGTGGAAAATTTTAAAAATAAATAAATTCAGAATGGACCAGGCCTTTGAAAATATGAAACAAAACCAGAAAAGACTAATTTGGATTTCTAAAACACCATTTAAAAACATCAAAGACAAATTATAAACTTGGAAAATAGTTGCAACACATCTCATGGAAAAAAGAGTTAACTTTCTTAATATGAAAAGAGCTCCCACAAATCAATAGGGAAAAAAAATCAACAACCAGTAGGAAAAAAAGGTCAAATTATAAATTTGGGTGATTCATAGTAAAGGAAGCACAAATGGCTCTTAAACATATTAAAGGATACCCAACTTCATTCTTAATAAAATAAATAGTAATTAGAACTATCATTAGATACTATTTTTCATCCGTACCAATAAGATTAGGAAAATTCATAAAGTTTGCTAACAAACTGTATGGGCCAGATTGTGGGGAACTAAGGCACACATTCCCCTGCTGATGGGAGAGTAAGCTGACACAACTACTGTGGGGAGCAATTTGGCAATCAGTAATGTTGTGGTAGGAATCCTGGTGTGGCGCTGTGGTTAATGCGCTGGACTGCAAAGTTGGTTTGATCCACAAGGTTGGTGATTCAAGCTCATCAGCTGCTCCTTGGAAACCCTATACAGGTTTCACTATGGGTTGGAACCTACTCGACGGTCACTAATGTGGTGCTGTAGGGTACTGGACTGCTAACTGCAAGGTTAGCAGTCCAAACCCACCAGCCGCTTCTTGGAAATCCTATACAGAGGAGACTGATGACAGTTTGCTATGAGTCAGAACTGACTTACTTAACAACAGTGACATTTTAAATTTGATTTTTAAAATTTATCCTACTTAAGCATATGGAAAATCATCTATTGTCATTTTACTTGTAGCATTAATCAAATTGGCTAGGAACTTAATTGTGTCTTTCATAAGTCTGAGCATTGTTCTGAGTGCCTGACACAGGCCTGCATTAAGTCCTCACAAAACAGTAGGAGGTTACAATGATTATTGTTTCCATTTTAAAGCTATGGGAACAGAGGCACAGACAGGTTCAATAACTCACCCAAGTCCACAATGCTAGTAAGCAGTGGCACTGTGACTCAATTCTCATAGATAGCTCCCGAGCCTGTACTTTCTGGTCAGGTTCAGTTCTCTGTAGCAGCGAAAGATTGAAAAATCCATGAATGCTCATTGAGAGGAGACTGAAGACAAGTACAGTTAGAGTACTGTTAGAATTAAGCATCTATGTTCTAATAAGGAACGATCGCCAAGTAACATTGTTAAATGAAAAGTGCAAACTGATGAATTTTGAATTTGCTCCAATCCTGTATAGCTTCTACACACATGTTGTGTGTATTTATTCTATCTGTGGAAGACAACACTGTTAAACTGGTTATAGAGAATGCCCGAGGGAGAGAAACTTGGGAACAGAAGGACAGGGATGAGAAGGATGTATGTTTTTGTTGTTAAGTGCCATCTAGCCAATTCCGACCCATAGCAACCCTTGTTTCCAAGGAACAATTGGTGAGTTTGAACCACCGACCTTGTAGTTCAAACGACTTTGCAGTCTGACGCATTAGCCCACAGCACCACACCAGGGCTCCAGAAGGAGGTATGCGTTCCCTCAAAAACAGTTTTTGATCTTTTGAAGTTGTCCATTTACCCTGGTGAGTGCCTTCAATAGGGGCTTCCCCATCTCAATTCTGAATTAACAGAAAGACAAGACAAAGGACTCAGTAGATACAGACCAAAATATCATCTTTATTAGTAATATAGTCCATGCTGGAGAATATGGCTTATCGTGTAGTTGCAGGAAAGTGGGATTCAGAATATGGAAGCTCACACTGACCACGCTGGACCAGGGAAAACCCCAGAACCACCTGCAAACAATTAATTGACTCAGCCTGCCCAAGGCTGTGGAAGTGATCATAAGTTCTTTGAAAGCTGTGCACGCCCAACAAGGAAAAAAGGTCAGAGGAAGGGACGGAGCGCTATGTCTGGTTCCTACTCCCAGGCTCACAATTCCCACTGAATGCTTCACCTCCCATGGGCAGTCATTGAGGAGTACAATCCTGAAGGAGCTCCAACTGCAGGGAAGGAAGTAGGGGAGAAGCAACCGCCACTAATCTCTTTTCAAATAAATTAAATATTATTTAACAAAATTAAGGCAAGGAAACTAAAATTCATGGAGATGAAAAAATTTTATCCAATGTTACCAAGCTAGTAAATGGCAGGACTGAAACTTAGATCAAGTCCTCTGACTTCAAATTCCTTTCATCTTGGTTTCTTACAAAGATGCCACTTAGTACTTGTTGAGGTTTATTATAATATAGGCACATTCTAAGTGCTTGCCATGTATAACTGTAGTAAATTCTCATAACTCACCATGAGCTATGATTATTATCAGTCTCATTTTATAGACATGGAAATAGAGGCACAAATGATAAATAACCTGCTAGTAAGTAGAAGTCCCAGTGGCTACTAACCAAAAGGTCTGAGGTTCAAACCCACCAGCTGCTCTGTGGGAGAAAGATGTGCCAATCTGCTTTCATAAAGATTATTGTTGTTGTTAAGTGCTGTTGAGTCACTTCTGACCCATAGCGACCCTGTATAGGGTCTCCTAGGAGCGGCTGGTGAGCTTGAACTGCTGATCTTGAAGTTCAAACCAAGATTGGTGTGGCGCTGTGGGTTAACGCTTTGTTGGAAACCCTATGGGGCAATTCTATTCTGTCTTACAGAGAAACTGTGAGTCAGAATTGACTCAAAAAGTAGTGGCAAGGAGACCAGGAAGGTAAAGTTAGGCACCATGATCAAGAGAATGTGGTTATTCTGGAGAGAGAGCAGGTATTCCTAACAGCTGGCTTTTGAAGGAAAAGACTGTGAACTCGGTTTGAAGAAGGAGTAAGCCATCTGTGGGTGCAAATGGGTCTAGGAGGAAACACGGCTTAGGGAAATGCTGCCCACAGGGGTAGCAGAGATAAAGGCTTGATCATCTCTTACTAGCTGACTGTAGGAAGCTCCTAGTGTGGTGCTGTAGGGTCATATTGGATTGCGAACCACAAGGTCAATAGTTCAAAGCCACCAGCCGCTCTTCAGAAACCCTATACAGGATTGCTATGAGTCGGAACTGACTCAACGGCACTTACAACAAGGAAGCACACAGAGGTTTCTCCAGGTTTTCAGCTGGTTCCAATCTCTGGGCTGAACTCAAACAACTCTGCCAACTCTGAAGCTAAAAGCGATGTCAACTTCCGAGTCAGAGCCAGTGCCTCATAAACATAGCTGCAAGAGCAGGACTAAGCATTGTCCTACAGTCATCCATTTGTAAATGGAATATCAAATTAATAGCTCTTCCTTCTGTGTTCTTGAAGGTTCCTATTTTTAACAGTATAGGCCTAGACAAAGTCTCGCTTTTAGTTTCTATATCATGAGAACAAGTATACAACAATCCTTGCTGGAGGATAACCTTTTGTAGTTAAATAACTGTCCACAGATTCAAAAGATCTTTGCAAGTTAAGGGGAGAAAAGAGTTTCTTGAACCCTCGATTCTGGAATCACAACAAACCTGTAGAATTTTCAGGGGAAAGAGTTGTCCAAATAGGATGAGTGTAAATCTTCAAAGACATCTACAGTTGCCTTCTTCTATTGTTTAAGACTGATATTTGCCATTATTGCAGAATCCCTTTATGCGCATTCATTACATGGTCACAGGGGAGGAGTTGGGGGTTGTTGTGTCGCTGAGAAGAAAGACAGCAGTTTTAATGTTGTTTGATCTGTTACTCTAGAAGGTGGATGGTGTGGAAACATGAAAGCTGGGAGGAGTGGAATGGAATCCACACCCACATCCCTTCCCATCAGGTTGCTGAGTAGCATTGAATCCCCTTCCTGTGGGAGAGACTTAGGATAGAAGCTTCACACCAGGAGCTGAAGGAACTGTGTTCACAAAAGGTTTGGACTTTGGAGCTAAGGACAGAATTGTGTCCAGAGCCAATCTCCTTGTCCTAGCCTTGCTTAAGGTCAAAGGATCCCTTGAGTATTCTGAGGGCTTAGGCTAGCCTGCAATCCATTAGAAGAGACTATGGCACCGAAAAGAACAGGATTCTCAGCAGGGGCAGTAGTGGGGAACCTCCTGGGAACTCCCAGAGCTAGAAGGAGAAAGGGTTAAACATGTAGGTGGAGGCTAAGACATTAATGGTAATAGAATGCACCCAAAGTTGCAAAGATATCTATCTGGATTTCTGCTTTCAGATTTGCATGAATATCTAACTTTGCTTATCACTGTTTGGTTCCTCATTGATCAAAATCAGCTGCTATTCAGACTGATGGCATTTTCCCAGAAAGCATATGATTAGTGGTCCACAGTCTTTTCACCAAGAAAGCCTGAGAACCACTGTTTTAATCGATCTTTGTTTTTTTGGGTAGGACAGCATTTGATACCAATTCAGAACTGAGTTGGAATATCATAGTACTGGTGTAGCACTGTAAGAGAAGTACTCGATCCCCAGGTCGATTTGAAACGTAAGGTCAGCAGTTCAAACTCACCAGCCGCCCCTCAGAAACCCACTACAAGGTCGCTATGCATTGGAACCGACTCTACAGAAAGAAACTTTGCAAGAAATACTTTTCGCATGACATCCTTGAACTTCATTCAACACTAGCCAGGAATTTATTGGCTAACAATTAAAATACAAGTAATCTCTTGTCCCCTGGACAAGAATTTGCACTTCTTCCTCACTTCTGGCTAAACAAATGCACAAGAATGAAGATGTTGAGACCCTAAAGGACTGTCACCATCATAGACACTCTGACTAGTATGGGTCTTGTTAAAGGTCAATGATTGCCAGCAAAGTTGCAGAGAACTTTCAGAATACCTGAGAGATCAGAATCAGTCCCTGAGGTGTTGCTCAGTTGTCATGGTGATTCTATTGTAGCATCACTTTATTTATGAACTAAATCAAAGAAATCTTCAGTCACATCTGTTCAGTCTGAGCCATTTCCTTGGGGGAGAGAGGAGCTTCAAAGAGTTGTCTACTTTGTTGAGGAACAAAAAAGGACAATTGAGTTGAGATCTAGCACCTACCTATGCTTAGTGTTTCTACAGCAAAAGTTGCAAACTGTCTTCATGGGGATTAAAAACCAATTTGCTTTCAGGGCTGAAATCAAAGGTCATTACTGCAAAGCTTGTCAATCAGAGAATATTAAAATTTGGTACACTGGGCTTGCATTCACCTCTCACCAAGCTTTTGTGATATGAATGTGATTATACTCTTGCAGAATTCAAAAATGTCAAAGCCAAAAGGAACCAAATTCTTGATTCAGGTTACTATGTTTCAGTTGCCTGAGTCTTAGGAAGCAGGCTATGGCTGAAACAGGTTGGCATCTCCTTGATAGGAAGGAATCTGGTTGGGCTTCAATGCCTCAACTTTCATTTTTACATTGGTGTGTGTATGCATGTGGTAACTTGACCTTCTTCCACTCACATTATAAGCTCCATACAAAGATGAGTAAAAGAAATATCCAGCATCATCTAATATAGCCTTTGTTTGTTGACTGAGTGAATGCTGACTGACTGAATGAATGAATGAATGAAAATTCCTGGGGAGTATGATAGTAGGGTCCTGAATTTATAGAGAAGAAAACAGGCCCAGAGAAGTTGTCCAAGGTTATGCCTTAAAGCAGTGACAGTGGTTTTTGCATAAATCTAGACTATAATTACATCACATAGGGAGTGATCTTGGGAAAACAGGAAAAGGCTGCTATGTTCACATTCTCCACAGTTCCAAAGGAGGTAAAGGGCAAATAGCAAGGAGTTCTGGGGGAGCCAATACTTTGATTTCCTAGAACTCCTGCTCTGTCCAATGGGATCAAAATATCACATGACAAGTACCAGAGCTCACATTCTGGGCTTGTATTTTCATATCCCTATGGCTAGAAGCCCTTTGCACTTCACTAACATGTATGATTTGTTTTGACCTTTCACTGAAACATTGTTTTTCAACATTTCCATTTAGACCTACAGTCTCTTCATAGCCTCAGTGTGCCTTTGCGGTTTTTGAGCATATTTTTAAAAAGAAAAAATATAAATACAGATCTATGTCTGACCCTTCTGTTCTGTGTATACAGTATTCAGAAGTTACCAGAATCACCACATGGTGGCCTACAAGCTCTGCTGGACAGAGAGACCAGTCCATGTGTCTCTGATGACCAAAGGGAAAAAGAGACAAATCCATGCAGTTCCTATGAACCTATTCTCAATTTAGGGATGGGGCAGCTCAGGATAAAGTAACCAAAAGAAACTTACCAAGGGCGTGGGAATCACAGACGAGGCTTGGCTGGTTTTCGAGCTTCTAGGGAGACCTTTGTCTGTAATCACCCAGGGACAAAAGGAAACACAGAGATAAAAGACTTCTCCCTTGACTCAAGACTAAGGCTGTGATCCTTGGGCTGGTCCTCCTCCACTTCTGACCTGTCTCAGAAGACCTTTCTATATCTGCTTATCCAGTGGTCTCAGAAGCTCCTTTGACAGGGACCTTGGCTCCTAGTCATTTCAGATGAATGAAGTTTCCTTCAGTGCACAGGTGGCCCTCCAGGTTTCAGGACCTGCTTCCTCCCTCATTTACACACACCTCCACTGAATCCACTGAAGAAAACTACAGTGCCCATCTGTCGTTACTCAAGTTGTCACCATAAAGCTGGTATGTTCCCCAGACCTTGGACAGGCCATGTTGGTTTCCACGTGACCAGGAAATGGGGATGGGAGACACATATTCATTTGTTTGGAAGCTGCTCCTTGACCTTATGGTTTCCTCTAATTCCTGCCCTTACCTTACAAACTGTTACTTACCCCTTCTACTCCTTTGACGTCTCCTTCTTTTGGACAAATGACTGACTATAGAGATGATCCCCAGGGCAGTGATCAGTACACAGATGATGAGAATGGACATTCTGGAAGGAATCACAGACATACTTCATGTCTCTTGAAAGAAACCACATTTTGATTCTCGGCTCATCATCCCCTTTTCTGGAATCTATTCTCCCCACCCAGTTCCAGCAGCTCCTGGTAACCACATTCTTATGGAGTGAACCTCTGCCCCTGACAACACTTAATTGGGCCTTCGGTGAGTCTGTAATCAAGTTAGGCCAACAAATTCCTTCCTGAAGAACTAAGTGGGGCCTGGAAGTAGGAGAATCTAGTCTCAGACTACGGAGTCTCTTAAACAGAAGAGATATAAACTCATAAGCTATGAATGGTTACCGTCTACTATGGCAAAAAAAAAAAAAGGAGGGGGGGAGGGTGCGTGGAGCAGGAAAGGGGTCAGTCTGGAAAGAAAAGGAAACAAATACACATACTAGTGGCAGATTAGAGGCAGAGATAAAGTCCTGATACCACTCCTGACAATTTATGAGGATGGCAACATCCCTGACTGTTACATTTCACGAGACACTGCTTTCTCCTTAAGATGAATCTCCCCTTTTAATGAAAAAAGCTAGAGGACAGTTTTGCTGCTTGTCCTAAGTCATACTTGAGAGAAACCAAGTAACCACAGTGAAGCTATATGGTTCCAGTTGAGAAACAACTTGTATAGTTCAAAAGTAACAGGTGCAGATCAATGACATCATGTTGTTGCCTCCCACTCTTACCTCCACCACCACCCACACCAATTTTTCTCCTAAGGTTACAGCTCACCTGGAGCGATCTGCTTTCTGGATAACTTTGGAAGATTTGCAGCTTCTGGTCTTGTTACCTGGAATTTCTGAATTAAAAAAGATTTGTTAAGAGTCTGGCAAGGCCCTTTCTTTGCCTTCCAGCTCATCACTCTCTCCATCCCCAGAGAGTGTGTGCTCTGACTGACTTCTAGGCAAAGCAGAGGTACTAGACCCAGTAGTGTAATTATGCACTGCATAGGACATAAGTCACCAGTTGCTATCGAGTTGACTCTGATTTCTGGTGACCCTGTGCGTGACAGAGCAGAACTGTGCTCCATGGAGTTCTGAAGTTACCTCTTGGTGGACTCAAATCTCCATCCTGCCAGCTGAGTGCATTAATTGCATCACCCAGGGACTCTTAGAGTGGACAAGTAGCGGTGGCAGTCCATGTCACACGCTGCTTGCCAAGCCATGCACCCTGGTGGGACTTCATGCACCTGGAGGAAGATTTACACAAAGGCACTGACTGTGTGGGCTAGAAGTGTTGTATTGTTAGAGAGTCCTAAACTTGGGGCCATGTAAGGGAACACCTGAGACTCCAGAAGACCAGTGCCTATCCTTAAGGGACAACCAATAAGTGATAGAATTGCTACAACATCCTTTGGACAGCCACCAAACCTGGTGGGAGAAGTCCCACCAAGACCACACCCATTACTCCTCTGATAAGAGCCAGGAGGGGTCTGCACTTCATTTAGACTAAAAAGAATGTTTAAATGGGGCTTCTCTTATTGGGAACTTACCACTTAAGACAAGCTATACAGTGCAGAACCACACCAAAGCAGAAAAACTCGGTGTGAAGGATGCTGTCCATCCAATAGGAATGTTTGATGCATGAATGAGTTACCAGTTGGTTCAGTGGAAGCAAGTCTCTCTCTTTCTAACAAAGAAAGAGTCTTCCAGCCCCTTCCCTTAAGTCCTTCTGGTTTGCATTCCTAGATTTACCCTACAGTCCTCAGGACTGTAATAGAAGACATCCCTTCAGGAAATGGAGGCAATGAGAATCTCCAGGAGAAAAAGAGAAAAACACTAGTGCCTGCCAAAAGCTCTCTGCCTGAGAGCAAGAGGTTTTCTGGTATAAAAAAAGGCTTTCCAAAATAAGAAATATGATAAGCATCTGGAGACCCTATGTCTTAGCCCTGGCCAACAATTTAAAAAGATTGGCTTGGACACACTTCTCACTATAGGCTCCAGTTCCACCCACATCCTCATAGGACCCCCTTGTGTATACTACATTCCTTAAAGGTAAAAGAGAACATGGACCAGTTAGACCATGATAGTTCTCACTGTAAATTATTAAGTTATTCAAAAGGACAATTTTTGAGAGTGCTCCTCCAGGTGTCTGAGTCACATTTTGCAATCTTTAAGATTCTACATCTTCAAAGAAACTAATCTTTAAGATTCTAGATCTTCAAAGCTGATACTAAATTTCTTGTATATGTGCACCAGAGGGTAGACACACGTTGTGTGATGGAGCAGACAATATACAATTGGAGGAAGGTTGCAGAGGAAAGATGAGGGTGGTGGGAGACACAGGGAGTAATGTAGTAGTTGGAGTGAATAGAGGTAAAACGCTGTTAACTGTTGGTGCATGGAGGGGATTGCAACCATACAAATGAAACAAAGTATATGATTTGTTGAATATGAAACTGGTGATCTGCTTTGTAAACCTTATTCACAATAAAAGTTTAAGCAAAAAAAGTTGATACTAAACCATGGAGAACAGAAATGTAAGAGCAAATGCAAAATCTTCTCGGAGCATCAGCTCATGTACTCCATCAGCACAAAAATTGCACATCTCTTTGACCCCATAAACATCTTCCAAGTTCCAGGAACCAGACAACTGGGAGAAGAGGGGAGTTCTAAGAGCTCCCAGGGCCCAGATACTTTTCTCTTTCCCAAACTCCAAATTAATCTCCATCACCATCAACAACCATCCTGTCTTGGAAGTAGAGAGTTGTTTTTGCTGTTAAGTGCCTTCGAGGCAGTTTTGTCTCAGAGCAACCATGTGTAAGGTTTCTGAGATATGGCTGGTGAGTTTGAACTGCTGACCTTGCAGTTCAAACCAACCTTGCAGTTTAGCGCATTAACCTGCAGCACCATACCAGGAAGTAGGGACAAAGCTAAATTTTCACTCAAAAGAACCGTGAGAGGGTCAGTAAGTATTTACCCCGCCAACAAAATACCCACTACTGTGGGTTGCCCTTTACTAGACCCCTGAAAGCCTCTTTACCTTTCTGAGACCAGAGGTCATCAGTGAAGGCTTCTCTGCTGTCCATCACGATAAGCTCTGTAAAATCCATGTCATCCCTGGCGAAGTCCCTCTGGATGCCACACCAATACCAGCCTGTGTCCTCCTTGGTCAGGCAGGACATAGTGACAATGAGTTGGTTTCCTGTGTCCCTCAGGGCCACACGGCTGGTGCTGTTGGGTGTGAAGGCGATGATGTTGCAGTAGTCCCGGAAGTAGCCTCGGCACCAGTATTTGGGGTAGTCCTTATAGTAGGCATCATAGTTGCAGATGGCAGAAGCTGTGTCCAGTACAAAGCTTTCCTTGACCTTTTCATCCATGACCATAGCATCTGTCAAAATACACACAGTCTTACAAGCACATGCAGGTGCACACACACACACACACCATCATTATTTCAAGCACATTGCAGCTTCTGTCCTCCTGAGGGTGACTAAGTAAAATAATGGAAATGAATTTGTGCTTAGTTGGAGGTAGTACCTTTCCCTAAACTAAAAGATAAAAATACAGTTGCTATGAAGTCAGTTCCAACTCGTGGCAACCACATTGTGTGTCAGAATAGAATGGTGATCCATAAGGTTTTCAATGGCTGATTTTTCAGAAGTAGATCACCAGATCTTCCTTCTGAGACACCGCAGAGGGGCCTCGAACCTCCAATCTTCCAGTCAGCATGCCAAACATGTTCATGTTTTGCACCATTCAGAGACTCTCCCCCTAGCCTAAGAGTAGGTAAAATATGGATTCCCCACTTCAAGAATGGTCTTTCACAATATGGCAGGGAGGCTTGGGGAATCTAACACTTCATTTTTAAGTAGATCCTCTGCCCTAACCTTCACCTCAACATGACACCTCAGAAAGAAAGTAAGGAGGTTCAGAGCTTATTTCCTTCTGTTCTTTGCATGGGACTGAAAACACAGGGAGTTAGGTTCTGTCTAGAGCTAAGAATATCATATTTCCTCTGTCCTAGACCACTGTGAAGCACTTCTACCATCAAAGGATGTTGCACAATAAGGAAGTCATGTACACCATGTCCAGCTAGACCGTGGCTGGGTACATGTCTGACTCAGCATCAGTGCCCATTCACTTCCCATTCTTCCAGAGCTGTCTTGAGGACCCTTCCAATGCTGCCTCAATTGTGCTTCACAGAAGCTTGGACCATGCTACCAATCAGGTTCATACCCTTGATATCATTTTATGCTCAAGAAGGATCATGTAATCCTCAGTTTGCAGGCAGGAGCATTGATTCAAACAGGGATGCAGTGACTCCAAGATCATAGATCTGGAGGTGGCATAGTAGGCACTGAGCTCAGTCTTCTGAGTCTCAACTATGGAGCTGGTATGGGCAGGAAAGGGAAAGACCCATGTTTATCTACACAAATATTTTGAAAGGAGGAAGAGGAGGGAAAGGGGAATTTAAGGTAAACTCAAAGAGAGAATACAAAATCCAAGGATTTCAAATTCCCCACAAACCTTCTTACCAGAGCTAAGACCAAGAAGATAGATAAAATCTGTATTTTCACCTACTTCTATTTTTGATTTGGTGATTAGAGCTCATAAGCAGGGACTCAAAGTAGAATAAGGAAATTTAAGGTCTCTAGGAAGCTCTGGTAGCATAGTGGTCTGGCTGCCAACCTCAAGGTCAGCAGTTCGAAACTACCAGCGGTTCCACGGGAGAAAGATGAGGCTTTCTGCTCCCGTGAAGATTTACAGCCTCAGAAACCCTGTGCAGGGTCACTATGAGTCGGAGCCCACTCCACGGTACTTAACAACAACAACAACAACAACAGGAAGCTCTGGTAGCGTAATGGTTACGAGCCAGGCTGCCAACCTCAACCTCAGCAGTTCAAAACTACCGGTGGTTCCATGGGAGAAAGATGAGGCATTCTGCTCCCGTAAAGATTTCAGCCTCAGAAACCCTGTGCAGGGTCACTAGGAGTCGGAATCAACTCCAGGGTACTTAACAACAACAACAGGAAGCTCTGGTAGCATAGTGGTAACGAGTTGAACTGCTAATCTCAAAGTCAGTAGTTTGAAACTATTAGCCATTCCATGGGGAAAAAATGAGGCTTTCTGCTCCTGTAAAGATTTACAACCTCGGCACATAACCACCACCACCACCACCACCACCAAGAATTCTATGTAGTTCCTGGCTAGTGCAACCAGTTAGACACTCAACCACTAGCCAAAAGGCAGAGGTGGATTGAACACAACCAGAGGCTTGGAGACCTGCTTCTCACACGTCACATCCCTGAAAACCCTATGAGTAGCTCTACTCTGCACACATGAGATCATCATAAGTCAGAATCCACTTGACAGAGCCTAAAAACAGCAAGGAAGATCACAGATTGGAAGGCTAGAAATGGTCCTATCCCACCTCTTACCTGACGAAAGAGCCAAGGAGAGTAGAATGAAGAACACCATGACCAGAAGAAAGCAAACCTTTAGCAGGAATGTTGAGTGTACTCAGGAACCTCAGGAATCCTGAATCTGTTTAAGGGAAATAGATATGTTTGAGCTTAAGATGGTTTTGTCCTGTCTAGAGAGATAATTGAAAAAATAGAACAACTGTGGAATGTAAATAGGACTGTGATATTAAATGATATTTGAAAATTATTGCTAAGTTTTTCTTTTAGATATGATAATGGTATTGTGGTAGCGAGCCTCAAAGATGGGTTTTGGCATTCATGTGTAGTACCCTCCTAAAATGAGTCAGGGCTGGCCTGAGTGACCAATAATATATGGCAGAAGTGATGATGCATGACTTCTGAGGTCATAAAAGATCTACAGTTTTCACTTTAATCTCTTACATTGCTCCCTCTCAGGGAGGTCAGCTGCCGTGTTGTTGTTGTTGTTGTTGTTGTCAGGTGCCATCGAGTCGGAACCGACTCATAGTGACCCCATGCACAGCAGAACGAAACAATGTCCGATCCTGGGCCAACCTCACTACCACTGCTACACTTGACGCCATCCATGATGCCACCTGACCAATCCATCTCGTTGGAGGTCTTCCTCTTTTTCTCCGACCCTCCATCTTACCAAGCATGATATCCTTCTCCAGCGCCTGTTCCCTCCTGAAAATATGTCCAAAATATGAGAGATGAAGTTTAGCCATCTTGGCTTCCAAGGAGCATTCTGGCTGCACTTCTTCCAAAACAGATCTATTGGTTCTTCTGGCAGTCCATGGCACTTTCAGTATTCTCCTCCAACACCACAATTCAAAGGCCATGTTGTAAGGACTCACAAATGGGCAAGTGGAGAGGCTCATTATGGAAGGGGACTCACTTGCTAGCATCAACTTACCAGACATAAAGGAGAGTAATCTTGTAAGCCTACAGATGACTGAAGAACCAACCACTGCAGAAAATAGCCAAACTGAGAACCACCCAACCAAGATGTTCCTGAATTCCTCACCCAGAGGAATAGCAAGAGATAATAAATGAATGTGATTTTAAATCTCTAAGATTTGGGGCAACTTGTTTTGTGTTAATAGATAATTAGTAAAGACAATGTCCACTACTCATCTGTCAGCGTGTTGTCCTGTAGTAACTTGTGTGTTGTTGTGGTTCTGGAAGCTATGCCACTGGTATTCTAAATACCAGCAGGGTCACCCATGGTGGACAGGTTTCAGATAAGCTTCCAGAGTAAGAGAGACTAGGAAGAAGTAGAAGGAAAGGCAGACTGCTTCTGAATGGTTAGCCACTGAAAATCTTCTGAATACCAGCAGAACATTATCTGATATAGTGCCAGAAGATGTGCCACTCAGCTTGGGAGGCACTCAAAAATATGACTGGAGAAGAGCTGCCTCCTCAAAGTAGAGTTGATTTTAATGATGCAGATAGAGCAAAGCTTTCAGGACCTTCATTTGCCGATAGGGCACAACTCAAAATGGGAAGAAACAGCTGCAAATATTCATCAACACTCAGAACATGGAATGTATGTAGTATGAATCTAAGAAAAGTGGAAGTTGTCAAAAATGAAATGACGTGCCTAAGGATCACTATCCTAAGCATTAGTGACCTGCTGAAATTAGACCTGCTGGACTAGTATTGGCCATTCTTTATCAGACACTCATATAATTTACTTTGCCAGGAACAACTTAGAAGAATGGCACTGCATTCGTCGTCAAAAAGAGCACTTCAAGATCTATCTTGCAGTTACCTTTTTTCAATAACATAAATGGTGTCAATACACATGGACCTCACCAGATAGAATACACAGAAATCAAATTGACTATATCTGTGGGAAGAGACAATGGAAAAACTTAGTATCATCAACCAAAACTAGGCCAGGGGCAGATTGTGGAACAGACTATCAAAATTGCTCCTATGCAGGTTCAGGCTGTGGCTAAAGAAAATCAAAGTAAGTCTATGAAAGCCAAAATATGACCTTGAGTATATCTTATCTGAATTTAAAGACCATCTCAAAAACAGATCTAGCTGATATATTAGACACTAATGATTGAAGACCAAAGGACTTTGGGGAGTACCATCAAGAACATTATCCATGAAGAAAGCAAAGGGTCATTAAAAAGACAGAAAAGTAAGGAGTGGATTCTGACTTATGATGACCTCGTGTGTGCAGAGTAGAACTGCTCAGAGGGTTTTCAGGGATGTGACGTTTGGGAAGCAGGTCTCCAAGCCTGACTTCCAAGGTACCTCTGGTTGTGTTCAATCCACCTACCTTTTGGCTAGTGATTGAGTGCTTAACTGGTTGCACCAGCCAGGAACTACATAGAATTCCTGATGGCGGTGGTTGTGGTTATGTGCCGTGGAGTCAGTTCCGACTCATAGCAACATTGCATAGGGCTTCCGAGGTTGTAAATCTTTTCAGGAGCAGAAAGCCTCATTTTTCTCCTGCGGAATGGCTAGTAGTTTCAAACTGCTGACTTTGAGATTAACAGTTCAGTTTGTTATCACTATGCTACCAGAGCTTCCTGTTGTTAAGTACCGTGGAGTCGGTTCCAACTCCTGGTGACTCTGTACAGGCTGTAAATCTTTACAGGAGCAGAATGCCTCATCTTTCTCCCACGGAACTGCTGGTAGTTTTGAACTGCTGAGGTTGAGGTTGGCAGCCCAACTAGTAACCACTACACTACCAGATCTTCCTAAAGACCTGAGATTTCCTTATTCTACTTTAAGTCCCTGCTTATGAACTCTAATCACCAAATGGATGTCAGAAGAGACTCTAAAACCCGTTCTTGAACAGAGAAGCAAAAGTGACTGGAAAAAATGAGAAAGTAAAAGAACTGAGCATAAAATTTCAAAAGTGCAACTTGAGAAAACAAAGCCAAGTCTTATAATGAAATGTGCAAAGACCTGGAGTTAGAAGACCAAAAGAGAAGAATGCACTCAGCATTTCTCAAGCTAAAAGAACAGAAGATAAAATTCAAGCCTCAACATGCAATATTGAAGGATTCTATGGAGTCCTGGTATGGCATTGTAGGATAAGTACTGGACCACAAGGTCAGTTTGAACCTCAATGTTGGTGGTTCAAACTCACCAGCTGCTCCTTGGAAACCCTATACAAAGTCACTATGACTCAGAACCAACTCGATGACACTTAACGAATACACAGTCACTGTACCAAAAAGAAATGGTTAATGTTTAACATTTTGAGAGGTGTCATATGAAGGACGATGAGAGAGCTACACTAAAAACATTGGTGAAAAACAAGGCTCCAGGAATTGATGGAATACCAATTGAAATGTTTCAACAAACTGATGCAGTGCTATATGTACTCACTCATGCTCACTAATCTATGCCAAGAAATGTGGAAGACAGCTACCTGATCAACCAACTGGAAGAGATCCATATTTGTGCCCATTCCAAAGAAAGGTGACCCAAAAGAATGTGGGGATCATTGAACAATATCACTAATATCATATGCAAGTAAAATTTTGCTGAAGATAATTCAAAAAACAATTGCAGCAGTATACCAACAAGGAACTGCTAGAGATTCAAGCTAGGTTCAGAAGAGGATGTGGAACTAGGGATATCATTGCTGATGTCAGATAGATCTTGGCTAAAAGCAGGGAGTACCAGAAATATGCTTAGTTGTGCTTTAATGACTATGCAAAAGCTTTAGACTATGTGGATCATACAAACCATGGATAACATTGTGAAGAATGGGTGCTCCAGAACACTTAATTGTGCTCATGATGAACCTATACATAGACCAAGAGGCAGTCATTTGAACAGAACAAGGGGATACTGAATGTCACAGAATCAGAAAAGGTGTTTAGCAGGGTCGTATCCTTTCACCATACTTATTCAATATGTATGCTGAGCAAAAAATCCAAGAAGCCTGATTATATGGAAAATATGCATCAGGATTGGAGGAAGAATCATTAATCACCTGAAAATGCAGATGACACAACCTTGCTGGCTGGAAGTGAGGAGGACTTGAAATATTTACTAATGAAGATCAAAAATCTTCAGTATGGATTGCACTTCAATGTAAAGAAAACAAAAATCCTCACAACTGGACAAATATATAACATCATGATGAGCAGAGAAAAGATTGAGTTTTTAAAGACTTCGTTTTGTTTGGATCCACAATCAGTGTTCATGGAAGCAGTTCAAGCAGTCAAGAAATCAAAGAACTTATTGCATTGGGTAAATTTACCGCAAAAGACCTCTCCAGAGGATTAAAGAACAAAAATGTCACTTTGTGGCCTCAGTTACACCTGGACAATGAATAAGGAAGACCATAGAAGAATTTATGCATTTGAATTACGATGCTGGTGAAGAGTATTGAAAATACCATGACTGCCCGAAGACCAAACAAATTTGGCTTAGAAGAAGTACAACCAGAATGCTTCTTAGAAACAAAGAGGGGAAAACTTTTCTGGTACTTGGGATATGTTGTCAGGCAGGACTAGTCCCTGGAGAAGAAAATCATGCTTGGAAAAGTGGAGGGTCCATGAAAAACAGGAAGACTCCCAATACACTGCAATGACACAGTTGCAGGAACAATGGGCTCAGTCATAACAATAATTGTGAGGATGGCTGAGGACCAGGCAATATTTGATTCTATTGTGTTATGAGTCGGAGCAATTGAATGACACATAACACCATAGTCATTGTGGCTATAGTTCTGGGGTTTCAAAAATATTTTTAAATAGGAATTTATTTTTATTTTTTTGTGTGGGGAATTAATTCTTTCATGTACTGATTTAATACATTTTTACAGAGGGTACGCTATCTTATTAGGCAATATACAAGTAGTCATAAACAAGACAGACATGGCCTTACAGTCTAATGTGAGAGAAAGACAATATAATCATAATGATACATGCTATAAAGTGTTGTTTTGTTTGTTTTTATTGTGGTTTGGGTGAAAGTTTACAGAGAAAATTAGTTGTCCATTCAATAGTATATACACACTTTGTCTCATAACATTAGTTGCTATTTCCTCAGTGTAGCAGCACTCTTCCTGTTGACTCCCTGGATTCTCTGTTTCCATTTGTCTTTCTTTCCTGACCTTTC